CTGGCATTGAAAAATTTCACTACTGTTGGAAAAGTCAGGAAGTACCAGGCTGCCAAATTTTTAAACGGCAGAATTATACTATCTTCTGCTGACATTACAAACATCAGTATTTAACAAAACAAAATGTCAACAAATACATTTATCTTGATCAACCCAGTAGACTAGAATGATACCTTAATGCATATGCTGCCACTAACTCTATCTAAATAACATTATAAGCGGAAGATAAACTTAGCAAGCTTAAGAAAAATAAATTGGTTACTTACAAGGCTGTTTTTCAACGGCATCAATGACATTTTCAATTACATCGTCAAGTTCTACTTCATTGATGGACTGAAAAGCTTCAGTAAGATACTTCAGAGCATCCCTAATTCCAATGAAGAAAGTCAGATCAAAAAGCAATTAATATTCAATAGTTTATACAAACTATGCCAATTTTGTCAGATGTAAATATAAAAGCTTCTGATTAAAAAAGTACAAATAATTGGTACTGCATAATAATGCATTAGTTTAAGTCAAACAAAGAAAAAAATCATCGGGATTGAAAACACTGAGGATAAGAATTAGAGAACCTCATCCTGCAATCATACAACCACCGAAAGATTCACATCAGAAGGGACCCCCCTAAGGTCTCCTGGTGCAGCTTTCTGCTCTAACAGCACAGGCCGGTCACAGCGTTGACAGTGCTGCTCAAATTCTGAACATCTCCAAGGAAAGAGCTCTCACAACCTCTCTTGGCCCTGCCCTGGTGTGTAACTACTGCCCTTGTGAATAACTTTTTCATAGGATTGCAGAAAAATCTACATTGGAAGTGACCTCTGGAGACCATCTGGTCCAACTTTCTACTGTAAACAGGGCCTCAGATTATGCCATCCAGGGCCCCATTGAGCCAAGCCTCGAGTATTTCCAACGAGGCAGATTCCACCACTTCTCTAGGCAACCTACTCTAAATTTTAATTATTCCTACAATTCAGATTTTATTTGAAGCTTGTGCCCATTGCCTCTTGCCCTGTTGCTGTGCATCCTTGAGAAGAAAGTACCTCTATCTTCTCAATAACCACTTTTTAGGAAGACTGGGATTAGATCCTCCTGAGCCTTCCCTTCCTGAGGTTAAACCCAAATCCTTTCCATTTTTTCCATGTCAAGTTCTCCAACCCTTGAATCACAGAATCACAGAGTAGTTTGGGTTGGAAGGGACCTTAAAGATCAACTAGTCAAACCCTCTGCCATGAACAGGGACACCTTTAACTACCTCAGGTTGCTCAGAGCCCCGTGTCCAACCTGGCCTTCGATGTTTCCAGGGAGGGGACATCTACAACCTCTCTGGGCAACCTGCTCCAGTGTTTCACCACCCTCATTGTAAAAAATTTCTTCCTTGTATCTACTTTAACTCCACCCCTCTTTTAGTTTAAAACCATTACCATCTTTCTTATAAGCCCCCTTTAAGCACTCAGAGGCCACTCTGAGATCTCCGCAGAGCTTTTTCTTCTCCAGGCTGAACCCCCCCAACTCTCTCAGCCCGGCCTCACAGGGGAGCTGCTCCAGCCCCCCCAGCATCTCCGTGGCCTCCTCCGGACCCACTCCAACAGGTCCATGTCTTTCCTGTACTGAGGACCTCAGAGCTGGGTTATCTTGCTGGTCCTCTACTAGACCCTCACCATTTTTTTAGTATCTCTCTTGAATCGAGCAGACTAGAATGGGACGAGTGGAATTTCTTCTGTTGCAATCTGTGCTTGCTGCTCCTCATCCCTTCCCTGTGCACTGGCTCCTTCTTGCTAAGTCCCCGTTAAGTAGCTGGACCATCTTCACCCTCTTTTGTGCAGACTGAGCAAATCCAGCTATTCCTGCTTCCCCTACACACCATGAGGTCCAGCCCATGACCACCCTAACAGTCCCCTGCAGGACCCACTCCAGTTTACCAGTATTTCTGAGATTGGAATTCTTTTAATTCTGAATAACACAAGGATTAGAAATCCACTTCTACCCTCATCCTTAGACTACAGTCTTGCAGTTAAAGATAACAATTTTCTTATTAACGTCATCTGTCAGCCAGTCCAAACTGGCATTTTGGTTAACTGCCTGACCTTCAAAATGTCTCACTTCATTTAACTGTGGGAGTCAGGAGCCCTGAACTTGGACTCTTCACTAATGAAAGGGCCAGGACACTGTCCAAAATAATCATGTCCCATCCACACAGAAACAAAATGGAACTTAATGCATGATCTTGGAAAGAAAAATACGAGCAACAGAGCCCCAGGCACTCTTATAAATCATGACACCTTCCGCTGCAAGCAAAAATCACTTTTCTTTGACCTTGCAATCTCTAATTAATACACATTATTATGTACCTTTGGAAATACCACTTTTTTTCCGCTAGTAAGAGATGCTGAACACAGAACTGTGAAGTGCAACTCCAGAAAGAGATCCCAGAGTTGCCAGGGTTAGCTAAAGACCAAAAAAAAAAAAAGAAAAAACAAAACAACAAACCATCCAGCACGACTATCAGGGAGGGGACCAAGAGGAGATCCCTGACAACTTTTGGTGCTACCTAAACCCACGGCGGGCACCGCACGGGTGGAAGTGGATGGAGGATGCCCACAGCAGCAGGCCAGGCAGGAGAGCTTCCCCAGGCCTCAGCGCGGAGGCGAGGAAGAGGAGGGCAAGGCAGCACCACATCCCCGAGAAGGCGAAGCGAGGGGTGCGGACCTGTCCCTGACCAAACCCCACACCGCCAGAGCCTGCGGTGGAAGGCTTGAGGAGACACCCACCCCCCCGCCTCGGGCGGAGCGGGGACCGGCCCGGGGGGTGCCCAACGCGGGGCCCAGCCCGGGCAGCTCGTCCCGGGCGGGCTGACCCGCCGTGCTCCCCTCCCGCCGAGCTACTCACGCCCGCAGCAGGAGCCCCCGCAGCCGGAACGCGGAACCCAACCGGCGCCGCAGCCGCTCCGGCTCCATGGCGGACGGTTGGCGCCAAACGGCGCCGCGCCGCCCCCACAGCCCGAGCCCTGCCCCGGGGCGGAGGCTGCGCGGCGGCACAGGCGGCACTTCGTCTCACATCTTCCGAAGTCTCTTCAGTTTTGCCTGCCATAAAACATCCATCAGATATGGCTAGCTGTGAATCGGTCTCACCTGTGCTCCTGTGCGTGAGCCTTGTTTTCACCCGTTGACTCCTTTAGTCTGTTAGATGGCTTGGGATAGTTCTCTCTCAAGATTCTTCATTTCTTCTCACTCCTTGATCCATCCCTCCTAAGGTTCACCAGCTCTGGATCAGGGCTGTTAGCAGTCAGCTGTCGTTGTATCATATCTTTCATAACTCTGCCTTGTGGAGAAAGACTTAGGGGTGTTGGTAGGTGGAAAACTGCCCGTGAGGCAGCCCCGTGCGCTCGCAGCCCAGAACCCACCCGTGCCCTGGGCTGCAGCCAGAGCAGGGGGGGCAGCAGGGCCAGGGAGGGGATTCTCCCCCTCTGCTCCGCTCTGGGGAGACCCCCCTGCAGTGCTGGGGCCAGCTCGGGGGCCCCCAACAGCAGAAGGACACGGAGCTGCTCGAGCGGGGCCAGAGGAGGCCACGGAGATGCTGGGGGGGCTAGAGCAGCTCCCCTGGGGGGCCGGGCTGAGAGAGTTGGGGGGGTTCAGCCTGGAGAAGGGAAGGGAGACTTTGTTGTGGTCTTTCAATATCTATGGGGCTTATAAGATGGAGAAAGACTTATTATCAAGGTCTATAGGACAAGGGACAATAGTTTTGAACTGAAAGAGTGTAGATTTAGATAAGCTATAAGGAAGATGAGGATGGTGAGGTGCTGGCCCAGGGTGCCCAGAGCAGCTGTGGGTGCCCCCTCCCTGGAAGGGTTCAAGGCCAGGTTGGACGGGGCTGGGAGCCCCCTGGGCTGGGGGAAGGGGGCCCTGCCCGGGGCAACAGGATTGGAACTGGGTGATCTTTAAGGTCCTTTGCAACCCAAACCATTTTATGATTCTGTGATTTGTAGGACTCTTTCCTAGCTGGGAGGGTGCACTGGGAACCTGGCCCTTTCCCTTATGTTCTGACTCACTGACGGTAACCGTCCTACCTAGAGGCCAGGTTTTCTAGGACAGCTCTCAGTTGCCTGAGGGTTTAGTATATGGTAAATTCTTAGTTTTTCAGTTCATCGATACCCATGTGCCAGCACTGTCAGACAGAGATCCCCTCCAGCAGGTTCTGTCTTGGCCAACAAGCACGGGATGCTCTCCATGGCTGTTTTTACACACAACCAGGGAACTGCTGTTATACTCAATATTTCCTTTGGCCCTGGGCAGTTGAAGTCTGTTGCACCACATCAAGTCCTGGTATAGAGCACAACCAATAAATATACTGTGCCTCACACAGTTCCAGTCTTGTGGGGCAGCTGCCTTCTCTCCAGATGAAAAATGCATGGTATTTCAAACGCTCTAAGCCCCGTCTCTCAAAATACAGCTTTATTCCACAGAAGGCTCACAAAGCAACTCTGAAAGAAACTTCTTTGATCAAAAGATGGCAGGGATAGAAAGATGGATACAAAATGTCAGCCTATTTTCTATAGTCCATTCTCAATTGCATAATTTATAATCACGTCTCCTCATACGGGAGCAAGTTCATGGGTGAAGCTGCATCTACTCTCTTTAGACAAAAAGCTACCATCCAACAGGTCTCAGCTATTTTGGCAGGAAATATGATCCACTTTTTGTTTCAGGCATGCAGCTAGGTGCAAATTATGAACCCAATCCTTACGTAAGTTCTTCTATTTGCTGATGACTACTTATTCTCCTTTAAAGAAAATCTAATTTTTACATTCAGTTTATGTTTCACCTGAAGAAGGGAGGTACACCCGGAGATGGAATGTACCTCTCATCTAAACATAAACTTGTTTTTTTAAAGGTATGACCAAACCCAGAATATAAAGCATACTCCTACAGCATCCTGCTGTATTTGGGGTTCTTTTAGGTTGCCTGAAGCCTCCCACCAGAGATATAAAAGTATTCCAGCATGAGCTGTAGACTTCTGTTGCACTGAACCATCTGTCTTGAGCTCTGGAAGCCATGCCCAGCTCTCTGTCCCCTCTGCCTGCCATGGCTTCGTTGGACATCGCAGCACTACGGTCTCAGCACACATGGCTTGGGAGCAGAGAGCCAGCTGAGGCAACCTAATGGTCTATGATCAGACAGCACATCTACCTCATGCCTAAGGTGAATAGATGGAATCGTTTTGTTACACCGAGCACAACGAACATCCCATTTTCATGCCTGTCACCGCTCCACGGGCAAAACCATGGGCTGCTGACTTTGCGCTGTTCCCAAGCTTCCTTCTGAGACACTGCATTGTAGCTCTACCTGATCTATAGATAGAGTTTGCCTGTTATCCCATGTTTTTAACTCTTCCAAAATGCTTATTCCCGTTTTAACCATCATCCCAATGCATCATCATTACATTTCTTCATTTTAGTATTGACAAGAATAGTTAATGTTTTCCCTCCTAGATCCAACAAAGGAGGTATGTGTCCCACTTTCACAAGAAAATCTTTACAATTACTTTTGGTGTTCTTTTACAAGATGCTAAAGTGCTCATTTCACACAAACTCTACTACTCTTTCTGAAGAGCTGTGCGTGTTTTATTTTGAATTCCCTTAATTCCAGCTGGAATTAAACCCACACTAAACCCACAGTTCAGCTGCAACTCACTGGGTTGTTGATCTAACAGTTTAAGAGCTAGAAGGGCATTGTAAGAGGCTATTGCTTTTCCCAGTCTGCTGTTTAAGAGCAGGCCAACACATAGAAAAGACTATATAATGGTGGGAATAACAGGGATCAGAACTCCCTCAAATAACAAAAAGTGTGTAGTTTGGAATATGATGGGAGATGATCCACTGAGATCCCAACATCAGCTTTATTCTGATAGTTACCTCTAGCTCAACACTGGTCCCAACACACAGGTCCTGCGCAGCACCTCTGGTATTGTCCTAAAAGTACTCTAGCACACCGCAGCATGTAGCTTCTTCCTTCATCTGCTTCCAGACCACAGGTTAGAGGACAGCAATCACATGATGTTTCTTTCTGGGGTCAACAGTTTGAATTTCTTTACAATTATTTTTATTATTATCAGCTATTATTTCACAGCTGCTATTTCTGGCTGGAACATGACTCTTCTCACCTTCAGAGAGACAGCAAATTCCACTGCAGTTGCCTTAAACCACCTCTCATGTTGAGCTCTGCCTACAGACCCAGCTTTCTTCCGCTCTCGCGCTGGGTTTGCATTTAGGTATCCTATTCTCCGCGCTTTTTTTTCCTCCTCTCATGCTCTTTATTCACAGGCTTCCGCATGGTTTATTAGGCCTTTAGCCTCGCCACTGTAACACGCGGCACGCCTCACCGGGCAGACGCTGTGCCCTGGCCCACGGCGGGAGCCTGTACCCAAAACTGACAGACCCCTTCCAGGAGCAGCGCAAGGGCAAATCTAACCGAGCCCACAGGCACGGCCGCCTCCGTGACCGCCGCACCGCCGGCCCCCGGGGGCCTGGGGCCTGCTCCGGCTGCAGAGCCGAGGGAGCCGGGGCAGCGGGAGAGCCCCGGCCCGCGGGCACCGCGCCCGCCTCCGCCCCCCGCCCGACTTCTCCGGCCGCCAAGCGAGCCCCGGGGCCGCGGGAAGGGTGACGCCCCACACTTTGGACCCTCCTCGCTTCCCGTCCGCCTGAGGGGAGCGACCGGCGGAGAGCCGCAGCCTCTCCCGGAGGAGGCGGTGGCGGGACGCGAACACTCAGCCAGGCGAGCTGCTTCCTCCTCCTTCTTCCTAAGATGGCGGCAGACTCCGCGGAGCAGTTCTGCGTGGCCGAGGAGCGGAGCGGCCACTGCGCCGTGGTGGACGGGAACTTTCTCTATGTGTGGGGGGGATACGTGGTAAGGCGGGAGGAAGCGGCCGGAGGGCGCTGGGGGCGAGGAGGAGGGAGGAAAGCCGAGAGGGGCGGGCGGGGCGGGAGCGAGAAGCCGAGCGGCGAGGCAGCGGGCCGCTGCCGGGGGTGGGGGGGGGAGCCGGGCTGAGGAGACTTGAGGGGGGAGTGGAGCGGGGGCGGCTGCCCCGGCGCCCCGCCTGGCCCCAGCGCTCGGCCCGGCGTCGCCCCCGGCCGCCCCCTCGGCGGGCCGGCAGCGCAGCGCTGTTTACCTCAGCGCGGGCGCTGATTGGCTGCCGGGGCGGCGCGCCACGCAGGGGCGGGCGTTTTAAATGGCGGCGGCGGCGGCGCTGAGGGGAAGGGCGCGAAGGAAGGGAGAGGGGTTTTCTCTGCGATCGGATCGCTCTTCTGTTTGTCCATTCTCTGAGGATAGGCGCCTCTGGCTGCCTCCTCCGTTTTCAGCTGCCTCAGTCACGGAGCACGTGTTGGGGAAGGGACTGGCGGAGCCGGTTTGCTTCCCCTTTCCTTGTGGCTCCTCTGTGCTCTGAGAGTGCTTCTCTCATCTCCCTTCCTCGGTGGGGTGATTGGCTATAATTTGTAGCTATGATTTTCCACCGTGTTATTTGTGTTCTTGTTCCGGAGTCTCTGCATTTTTTACTTCTTAGTAGTTGTATGTTATGTTCAATGTGTTTTCCTAGTTTAGAAAGCAGTTCTGTCACTTCAAAGACGACCCAGTGGCAGACTAAAACCACATCTGCTTTTTTTTCCCCATACAGAGGTCCGTACTAGTTCTGGCATGAGTAATCCTGTGACTCTTAGATCTGGATTAGTTCTGTCCAAAAGAGAACTATGAATCATACTACGTTATATACAGCCAGTTCATTTTATCCACAGTGTCTCAGCATGATGGCCCTAAAATGTGAAAGTAGATTTGCTTGGTATTATTCCTGGTCTTGCTCAGGTCAAAAACGTGTTTCTGTTAACATTTTCAGTATTCTGCCTGTATCTTTCACAGGCTAAGGTAAATTTTGAAATATGCAAAGTTTGTCCTGAACTCAAGCAAAGAATTCTAGTTAGGAGCTCTTCAATTTAAATTTTTAAATAAATTCTAAGTTATGAGTGTGTGCAGTAGCAGAGGGAATAAGGTTTCTAGGGCTCTCAGGTACTAGTGGCTAGCTGTCTCTTGTCTCTTCCACATTATAGTTTAGTTTCTGAAAATCAGAATGTTCCCTTTTTTTCTTTATTTTTTTCAACTAAAAACGTTGGATTTAAAATATGATAAAGCTGGGTAGCTTGTAGAATCTGAAGAGTTGCGCTGCCCCTGAGGTTGATTCATTTAACCAGGAAGGGTTGTGCTGCTGGTGACTACTGAAATAGTGAAAATACATGCAGATACTGAAATACAACCCCTCAGCTGTGGTAGGAAGCAGGGCAGCAGGTTGGATGGCCAGGCTTGCCCAATACCAAACTGTAATGAAGTGGAGGAATCCTCAGGAGCCTGTAAACTGTTCCCACAACTTTTCTTCCCTTTGGGGGTCTTTGATAGGTTGTGTTCCTTGTGACTGCAAGTTGTGTAAGGATTTGAATACGTACTTTGTAGTGTCAAGAAGTTAGCCACCTTTAGAATAAGCATATATTTAACTAACGTGAGTTTTTTGTGATGTACAGAAAGATTTAGTGTCTTTCTCTGCCCTTAAACTCCATAATACTCTATACCTATGCAACACCTAAATCACTGGTAATACTTAGTAGATCTCTGTGCTTTGGTCTTTAGAAACTGAGGTTGGACTGGATACTGCAGTGTTTTCAGAGGTTTTCTAATAAGGGATCTTGGGTTCATGGCACAGTCAAAAAACAGACAATGTGTATTAAGTTTAGCAGATAAACTTTGCAAACATTTTTAGTAGCTTTACATATTTATTTGTGGAGATTATTATGAAAAACACTGTTACTCTTTAAGCACTGCTTTACACAGGTAAATCATTTTACATTTTTACGTTTTACATGTTGATGGTTAGCTCAGCTAACTTTTTTTGGCATCGGTGTATTTGCTCAGAGCTGGTTCTGTAGCAAATGCTTGGCCCCTGACCACTGACATATCTAGATTAAATTGAGTAGACTTCTGCACTTTGTGAAAGCTGCAAGCTGTGTGTAGCAGCAGAGCCTACCTTATGAAAGGTACCTGGCAGGATAAACTGTACCAAACACAGTGTCTGCGTGCCTGCCTGACACCTTTCAAATTGAGAAGGTAATAATAAAGTATCATTTAAAGGCAAGTAATCAGTATCAGTAACTAAATTGTTAATAATTAAATTTCAGGTTTGTATTTAACTTCTCACATTCATTTAATTTTGATTTTTTTTTTAATTTACTGACTCTGATGCTTATTGCTTCACAGTCTTTCTGATGCTAAGACAGTTATTAATGGTGTCATTGTTACTCAGCCTGAGTGCTGCAGTTGTATTCTTTTGGGCTTCCTTCTCCTGTTTGTTGTTCTTCCTCATCATTATATCCCAAGTTATTTTTATTTCTTACGTGGCCTCTGTTTGGGAGTCTTCATAGATCTGTTTTCCACAGAAGAATTAGTCTTCTCCTTCATGTTATGGCATAGGTTAAGCTTTTCTATATTAGACATTTTGTTCTTTCAAGTTCTTTTCCTTCAGTCACTGCAAGTAACTGTTCTTTTTGTGTTTTTCAGATACACTTATCTATATTTTTCCATTATGCCAAGAATTGCCTCCTAATTAAAAGTATCTCCCAAAACAACAGATAATTAGTTTTAATTCAGTAGCATCAAATCTGCTCTGGTTTAAGTTGTTACACATCTTTCTTGGCAGAACGTTAAGTTGGTAAATCTGTGCTTTTAATGAGTGTGAGCCTGAGGAGTTAAGTTCCTCATTTTTAAAATGAGTTTGTTTTTCTAACTTCGTGTTTACTTGTTGAGTTCTTTACCCATCTACACAGTGTGCCAAAGTCTCACTTTCTGGAAAAGATAAAAAGGGATTGTGGAATGAGGAAAAAAATCCTGCAGGGGAAGGAAAACTCTTTTTTCCTTAAAGGTGCAAAAAGCCCCAAAGAACAGCAGTAATACTTTGATGTTCATCTTTGATGTTCTGTACTTGGAGGTATGAAGGCTAACAGTATGGCAAAATTTGCTTGGAGTGATTGCATCAGTGACTGAATAAATACTTCCTTTAGTAACAGCATTTTAATAGAGGAAGGAGGCGTCTTTGAGTGTCTCAAGACTTTGGGGTTTTTTAAATCCATGGTCATGTTATGGTACTGTTGTGCTACTTGTTAGTAGCACTTCTGTATGTTTCCTAGTGATTTAATTGTTCGCATGGGCTATTTTCTTATTTTTACAAATTGGCTGTTGTATTATATTTGTATTGCTTTTAAAATATTGAAATGTTTTTCTCCCTACTTCTGATACACCAAACTTATTTTTTTATAATCCACACATTAAAATGAGTGATTAAAGATGCTATTAACAATCAGCAAAGCTCAGTGACATCAGGAAATGCCTAGCACAGTAATTTTAATAGCTTCAAAAAATGAAAATGTCTTTTTTGAATTTCTAATCTAAAATGTAAAACATTAACGTTATCAAGCTGCTTGTTTAAAACTGTAAGGATCAGAGCAATAATGATGAGGAATGACTTATGCTCTAGTAGATTATCTCTTTAAGATTATTCCATGTTGCTAAGTAACACGATTTGGTATTTCATTTTAAAACGTATGGTGTATAATGCATAATTGATTTAACATTTGCAAATTTTTTTTCGGTTTTAGTCAATTGAAGAAAATGAAGTTTATCTGCCTAATGATGAGCTCTGGATCTATGAAATGGATAGTGGGTTATGGTAAGTTGCATAATTTATATTTAGTTAATATATAAAGTAGATCTTTGCATAGATTACATTGAGCTACGGTGAAAAGACTTCTGCTAGGTGAATTATTGGTCATGTTCCCTGGAGTTTAAATAGCAGATGTTTAATGTGAAGACTGAAGAACAGACACATGTACTTGCAGATTAACTCTAAGAAACACATTAATTCCTTAAGTATAATTGTGTTTTTCAAGATGGTCAGTTTAAGGCTCTGTTGTTAAAACAGGTGCATTTTATTTGGGCATTTATTTTGGCTTAGTTCTCCATACATTAACTTTTATGTTAAAAAGAATATTTAAACATTGGATATTTGGGTTCTTGATCTATTTACAATTATATATTTTTTGTTATTACTTAATTGTGTTTTGAGTGTATTTGCATAAATAACTCATAACTAACAAGATCTTGCACTTCACTAGCAATTCAGTCTTTATGTTTTATATTAATTGTGTTTACATATTGTATGTGGGGAGAGATAACAATGCCTGGTTTAAAATTTTCCAGGGGTTTCTATTACAATAAATGTATTCAGTCTGGTAAAGTAGCATCCATTTGGGCTTATATGTGGTTTTTGCCAGCTGTCCTTGTAGTCTCCCACCTGTTTATATATTTCTTGCATGCCCATATTCAAAGTAACAATTTGAAAGGGGAAGGGGAGGAGGGAGGGCTAGATCAAGAAGGTGTCTTACAGTATGTATGAAGTTCCACAGCTGTGTGGTCAAGTCACTGACTTTGAAAACAAGTTTGCTTATGGAGAGCTGTGAAGTGCTAGCAAGTCTTTTCTCCTTTTTTCAGATTGTACCCTCACTGAGGCTGTGGTTTGCTGTCTCTTTCTTTTGGTGAAAGGGTTGGCTAAAACAACCTCATACTCTCTCTTGGTTTTCACCCCTGATGTCCCCGTATCGGTTGTACTGGTACAGCTGTTTACATGGTCACACGGGAAACTGGATCGGGAAAGTGATCTGGGTTAAATATAACTCTTCTTTTTTCAGGGTTATTTTTAAGCGGGATCCGCTCTTGATCTCGTTTGGTTTACAGCACACACAGTTGTACACACACAGCTGACACAGGAACAGGCAGGAGTGGGAGAGGGAGAGCAAAGAAGGGGAAGGTGGGCTGGCCTGTGGCAGTTCTGGTGCCAGAACAAAGGTGTTTGGGAGCAGTGCCCTAAGCAGCTGTTAGCGAGTGCTGTTTTCAGGAGGGAGCAGTTACACATGCATCATTCACTTCTGGTGATTGAGTGCATAAAAAGCTCTTTCTTTTAATGGCTGCCTCCAGGTCTTTTAGGTCCCTGTAAGGTCAAGGATCAGAACTCATAGCAGTAAGAATCCTTCTCTTGTGTATAGCCACCAGTGATGGAAAATTAAGGCATCTGATCTAGATGTGGATGCATCGAAGAAGGGGATGAATAGAATTGACTGGGACAACTGGTGTGGTGATATTAGACCTAGCAGAGAGAAGAAGAAGTGGAATCAGACTTTGAAGGTGGGAGATGATGACTAAAGAGGGAGACTGGGCTAAGGACCCAGCTGGAACACACGGAGTCAAGTCAGGTGGAGAGCTGAGAAAAATGAATGGATGGCAGGGGAAGGAAGGAAGCTTCAGCTGGAAACTGTGGGGTGAAAGCAATTGAGATGTCAGTAGTAAATCTGGGGGCAAGGAGTTGGGTGCTAGCACAGAGAGACTGTGATTTGGCTGCTAAACCTACAGAGGCTGAAGGTATGGCAAGAATCGTAAACAAATCGCATGTCCTTTGTATGTGTGAGGGGGAAGTGCAAGTCCCTGTCTTCTGTAGAAATTTGAGATCCTAGGAAAGCTGTTTTCAGTGTGGAGTAATGATTCTAAGCTCAGTCTTGGCCTAATGCTCAGCCTCGTGAGTTTGGCAGAAATTGATTTTCGTCAGATAGTTACATAGTGCTTGAGATTGTGTGATGTTACAGTTTATATCACACGAAGTTACTGGTTTGTAAGTGAGACTAGCAAGGAAAAGGCTAGGAACTGCTGCTGCTGCTGAACAGAGAACTCACTGCTAAAATTGGCATTGAAGATTTTTTTATTATGCTAATTACAGTTCAAAATGTAGTTTTAGGAATTGCATATTGGGTACCAAAATTAGTGAGTACTTCTGACCTTGTTTCTACTTCTGCCTCAGTTTTGCATTTGTACAATAACAGCAATACCATGTTCTCATTTCAGGAGTTTTTGGATTTAATAGTATTTCCAGGTTTTGAATAATAAATGTTTCTGCTCTAGTAATGCTCTTTTAATATAGGTTTCACCTTCAGAAAAACTGAGATGCTTCATAAGCATATGCCCAATATTCATGTGACAGTCTTCTTACACTGCAGGATCCTGACTTCATATATCAGCTACAGTTTCTAGTGCTAGTTATGGCCAAAACTGCATTCGTAGCTTTAAGTCTAAAAACTATTAATACATTTGAATTTGGTTTGTTAATTTTAGCAGGTTTGAAAGCAGCATTATAAGACTTAATGTATGTGCTAAATTGCAGGACAATGCACCTAATGGAAGGGGAGTTACCTACCTCCATGTCAGGAAGCTGTGGGGCAAGCATTAATGGGAAGCTGTACATTTTTGGTGGATTTGATGATAAAGGATACAGTAATCGGGTATTGTATTCTTTTCTTTCACAACAATCTGTATTTGAATGAACAGTAATGCTGACCTTAGAGTTTTGTCTGGTGTAGTTTGCATTTGAATTAAGGAGAAATTTAAGGAAAAGCTTTATTTTTGTAGAATAAGTATATTCTTAAACTGACAAAAAAACTTTAAGTTTTTGTCTTAATGTTCAAATCCATATATTTTTCTGCTATTTTTTCACTGAATCATAGCTTCAGAATAAGACCCATTAAGTGAAACTTTCTGTATTTACTTCTGAGAACTGCCAGTGTTTTCCCAATTACCTTTTTTTTTAAAAAAAAATATGTTGCCAGCCATAATTGAAATTTATCTCAGAATATCACTTTTATTTTTGCTCTTTGATAGAAATTACCTTTCTTATATAATCATGGACCAGTTTTCCTAGTAACTGAAGACTGGAGTGGCAAAGTAGATGAAATGAGCTGTTTTATCATTTAGTGTAAATGAAGTCAGAGTTCAGTTCTGACTAGAAAATAACTGAAATGGAGCCTGGAATCAGATCTCACTTTAGTACTCGGTTCACAAGCCTTGTTGATTTTTGTGCAGTTACCCAGTTCAGTCAGGCAGAACTCCTGATGGTTCTGCCGGTAGAATTGAATTGGGAGCTGTTTGTCTTGCAGAAGCTTTTTGCAAGACTTCAGTTGACTCTAGAAGGAGCAGGATATTACAGTTCTGGTCTGGCTGAGTGAAGGCAAGGAAATTGCTGCTAATTCTCACACTTTAAATGTGTTCTTGTGGTCTGTTGGACTCTTTCTGTCTGTTGCTACATATTGTAAACTTCACTGACAGTTCCTTTTTTTTTTTTTTTTTTCCAAAGGAAGTAGTGTATTCTGGGGGTGGTGGGTTGTTCTTTTTGTTGGTGATTTATGCTGGATTCTTCGACATCATTTATACTGAAAATATTGTAATTTTTTTCTTTTAAGCTGTATTATGTTAATTTGCGAACAAAAAATGGAACCTATAGGTGGAAAAAAATTACAAATTTTAAAGGTCAACCTCCTACACCACGTGACAAGCTTTCCTGCTGGGTGTATAAGGACAGGTAACACATTAAGAATATTTAATATGTGTTAATTGCAGAGAGGAAGTACTATAAAGTGAAGAGCACACAGGTTTGGGATTCATGAAACTCTTAATTCTTAGCTTGACTTGCTATGGGATTTTGTGTAACTCTCCTAACAGCTTTCTACCAGAGTTTTCTCACATGTGAACTGAATTAATGGTAAGTATAAACCCACTTTAGGAGAGGGTTGGGAAATTTAGTGAAAGTTCGTGGAGTGCTTTGAGAATTTAGATAAACTTGCTGTGCATCTACTACTTATGTTTTTAATTGTAACATGTTAAAAGATCAGTATAAAAATTACATTTTTTTTTGTTACATTATGTAAGCATTAAATTATTACCTGCAATAAAATACATGTCATATATTTTCAAGGATTTTAATAGCACATAAATGCTGACAATTGCAAAGGCATTTCAGTGATTATTTTATAAGAACCAAGTCAGCCTAGATATTTGTGTTGTAAAAGTTACCGAGTGTATTTAGAAAAAATACTTAGCTAAAAATAAATATTTGACTTCAGATTTTGTGTTTTATTATAGAAAGTGTGGATATTGTGGCATATCTGATCACGAGAAAGTGACATGTCAGTGATTTGTTATAAAAATTACTGTAAACAAGAAAGAATATGATGTACAGTGAACACTAAAAAATGTAAATGATTAATCTGTTTCTGGATTCCACATCTAAAGAGGTTTTGAATAAACTGTATAATGCCTCTCAGTACTATATCTTGGTTCTGTAAATCTAACTGCAAGATATATGAAATAACATGTATTTGAACAACTTCTCATTAGCTGTTACTACAAGATTATTCAAAACTAATTTAATCTATTCAGAGTATCATATAATCCGCATACTGAGAAAATGACCTATTTCAGGTGGCAGAGTATAACCTTTTCATTTAACAGAAATATTTGGGGACAAGCTATGCACCTTTTCAGAAGTATAAATTAAAATTTCACAAGATGTGAATTTGCAGATCAGGATGTCTTGGTGTATTGCACAATGCTTTCAGTAACTCTGTTTCCCTAGGAATGTCAGTCTGGAATGACCTTCACCATCCCATCATTTCCTAAATTGCCTTCTCCCAAGATCACTAACAACTATACCAAATATCCTCAAATGTTGAAGTTAAACAAAACTTTAGGAACCATTACTTATGGATGGCCATTTCATGGGTGGAATATTAGGCTGGGAGGTGTGTAATAATACTTGCAATGCAATATGTTCAGTAGTGCTTAGTTGAAAGAATCTCTAAGCTAGAGCAAGGCTTTGTGGGTCACAGGCAGTCTGTGGGCTGAACCTTGGGAACATTTGTTGTGAAAAGATGTATACAGAAGGCTAACAAATATAGCAGGAGCATAGGAGTTTCAACAGAAAAGGGTAGGAATTCTAGCAGAAGCATAGGCATTTCACGGTCTTGTGTGTTATGTGTCATTTTGAGACTTGTGTCTGAAAATGTGACTGGATAAATAAGCTTGTGGATGGAGGAGTAGAGACTAGGGACCGAGGTATTTTGAACCTCCTTCCTTGCTTATGTGCATTTCTGTCAGGCTTGTTGAGGAGTGTAACTATTACCTTCATCTCGGTAAGGTTTGCTGCGTAATTAGGTGAAATATGAAATACTTTAAGTTGTTTATGTTATTAATAGTACAGTAGGTAAACCAAATTTTGAAATTAATTATTGCAGCTTATTCATTTGCATGTTATTTACAAAATGGCTCACTGAACTCCTATTTTGTTGTTGTTCTTTTAGGCTAATATATTTTGGTGGCTATGGCTGTAGGAAGCATAATGAACTGAGTGATTGTTTTGATGTCCATGATGCATTTTGGGTAAGAGATTTGTCACAATTCAGTGATTTGTCCTTTCTGATTGTCAAAATGTGATCTTTTATACTATACTCAGTAAGTATGAAAATCTGTCTGATTTTTCTTTTATTTGTAGCATCAGCAGAAATGCAAATTAGAATCTTCTACTCAGATTTGAAATTTCAGATATTGCATGTTGGGAGCAGTGGGTGTTCAGCATATTCCAAATACCCAGTGCTAGGCTTTGGCTGCAATGAAACAAAATGCAAAAAAAAAAAAAAAGAAGCCAGAACAAAGGCTGTATTTTAAATCTGAAGATGTATTTTAAATGTAAAACTCCTAGAAAATTTTAGGATTTATTTCCTTGAAGTAACGATAGGGAATTTATAGCTTTACAAGTCTGACAAATACTTTCAGGTAATTTCATTAATTTGTTATCCAGAATAAATGCCATTACTTTAAGATGCCTGGATTAGCTAGTTTCCTATAATGGTTTCTTACAGTTAACAAGAAGAAGGAAACTGATTAGAGTATTTAGTGACAGAAATTAATAAGAAATAGATATGCATTCAAGGGAGTGTAGATCCTTACACCAAATGTTAAGTACTGATTTACAGAAATGTATTACTTTGCACAATCTGTTTATTTCTTAGTATGTTATACTAAAATTAGAAGGTAGAATTTGTCTATTCCAGTGACTGATGTTGGAGCCCAAAGCCCAGTTTCATAAGTGTCATCAGCCCTAACACTCCGGAATGCTGTTGACCTTCAAATAGACCTGAGCTGCTAGATAATTATTAAAAATATTAACATATATCTCTCAATAAAATTCTATATTTTAGTTTATTTTCTATTTTGATAGATCACTTTGTGTTTGTATCCTTTAATAAGCACAATGATTTTAAAATAAAATATATTTATTTTTAATATTTTAACTTCTTTTTTAGGAAGGACAGATATTCTGGGGATGGCATAATGATGTTCATGTTTTTGATACAACCACACAAACTTGGTCTCAACCAGCGATTAGAGTGAGTGGTTTGTAGTCTTGTCTCTTGACACAATTGTGATTTTACTGAAGTTTGAATAGTTATTGTGCTCTAGAAATTGACGTTGGGAGAAGTAATTTGAATATACTCAGGCTTATAACATTAAACAAGATGCCTCTGAAATGTGGAAAATTCAGAACAGATACAAATTTTTTTCCCCCACAGGATGTTATTAGACTGATGTTTTTTCTATAATGTGGTTCTGATGCAAAAAATGCCATAAGCTTCAGAGAGGTGTTAGAAATCTGGACACAGTAGTAGATGATAGAGTATTGTGTGTCTAGGGGATAGTTTTACAATAAAGCTTTTTATTCAAGCTTTAAGACAACTGTTGGGATTATAAAATGACTGTCAGCACTCTGTTACTAAAAAGACAAGGCACTGGAATACTCCAGAAAACCATTTAATAGGAATGCCAGAGTGGGGCTGAGGAACAGGCTATGGAGGTGCTTCAGTGACTCCTCACAAAGCAAGCTTGGGTCCTGCAGAAATGGATTATGGTGGTTTATAGCAACTTTGGGTGTCCTTGCAGGCCCTGCCAGGGCTTTGGACATGGAGAAGATACATGGCTGGAGCACAGCCAGCTCTGAATTCATCCTGTGTCACACCTAGCGAAGGCTTTCTGGAGCAAAGCGAATGTCTTTGGGGGATACATGATAGAAACACATGAAGGGTTTTAATGGTGCCAGACTGAGGTTAACAAACCCCCTTGATCTGAACTGTTTGGAAGCCATTTGGATGGCAGTGTCTGTGTATAATTAATCTGCAACATGGATAACGTATCACAGATAACTGAGAGTTGGCCACATGAGAGATTAAGGTCTGCCTGGGGATTTCGTCCTTTCCCCTGACACTCTTTTCATAAAAGCTGCCAGGTCAGCATTAAAGTTAGTGTATTGAGCTGAAAAGCAATGGTGGTCTTGAAATCTAGTCTCAGTTCACCATTCAGCTTTCACAGACTTAAAGCAAGGGGAGAGAGTGAATTCACTGTATTGCTAGTTTAGGATTTCAATTTTCCTTTGTGAAGTAAAGATATATGTTTAGTATGTGAGGGTTATACAGTCGTTATTTTGAGCATTGTGATTATGGAGTTGCTGTATTCCTTTCAAGAGTTAATATTAAAAAAATCCTTTGAACAAATATCTCCCAGTCATGCTACACTATTAGAATAAACAGATCAGATATTCTTCAGCAAATATGTTATTTTAATAGTCTTCCAAAGGAGCATGTATACTCACTCTCCCAGTAAAATACTAATGCACACATTTCTATTTATTAATATTAATATGATAGAATGAAGGTTCATAAAATCCTGGTGAGTTTACGTAAGAACTCAGTAGAAGTAATATATTGTAATGAGTGTCTGACATTGTTTTATGGTCTTTATAGGATCTTCTAAAATTCCTGTAAAACTAAATGCAAAAAATGAAATTGCCATTGTTAAAGTAAAAGCCAATGTTGGTATCATTAGTTCTGATTTAAACAGGGAAGACTTTTTGGCATGTGGCTATTGGATGTACCATCAAATTTAAGATCTGATTTCCAGAGATTTTAGTACCACTTCCTGATGGTTTGCACTTTGGAAAAATAAAGCCACACAGGAGATACCAACAATAACTGATGTGTTGCTGTAATTTTATGCTTAGGAATTAAAGATAAATTAATTGAATTTCACTTAAGTAAAGCAATGATAAATCAGACTAAGAGGGAATATATTAAACATTAGCAAGTAAGGCAACTCAATTAAAGCTCTCCTTGGCAATTATGTATATCTTCTAATGTCTGTGGAGTCTTGGACATGACTACAAATTATTTAATTTGAAAGTTGCAGTCCTGTCAGCATATTGATGTATGTTGGCCTTGTCTTTGCAGTCACTGTGTTACTGACTTGCCACTATCCTTGGCTGGCACTTCGATGATGTTCTGAAGGATCTTGTTTTGATTCTTTCAGGGTGGAGATCCACCTCAGCCTCGAGCAGCCCATACATGTGCTGTGCTGGGAAATAAAGGTTACATCTTTGGAGGACGAGTGCTGGTTAGTGTTTAATTAAAACATTTTATTGGCAGTGATACTATTTTCTTGGCAGTTATTTTTTGTTTAATAGAAAATTACTTGGTAGTAGAAAAAACAAATCCAAAATGTCTTTGGCCTAACCTGTATGTTAGGGGCATTGACTCCAGGATACTTCTTTTCATCCCCCTCTACCTTACAAAAAGAAGAGTCTTTCTTTCTGTCTGTAGTACTAATGATGAACCATACATTGTCCCAAAAAGAAAAAAACCCAGATGACTCTATGGTAAATGCAGTTGTATATAAATCAACAAAAATTATTGATTTGTGCAAAACCTCTGTAGGAGATGGTTCTTTGAAAGTGGAGCAGAAGCAAGCCTGCTGTTAGACCTGGTTTAAATAAATTATGAGATGCTAGCATTCTGTGCTTGCTACAGCTTAACAGATTTATACATCAAACCTGCTGGCTTTTTTTTCCCCATTTCACTTAATGAAATGCTAGCAAGTAGTAAATATAACTGGGATTTTAGCTTGTGCTCCCGTACTTGCCCTGCTAAAGAGAAAGGAAATGTGTAAGAATGGTCAATTACTCACATAAACATCTCATACCCTGATGTTTACCTTTGGAAAAGTGAAGTTCAGAATAGCTGTTGGGATACAGTATTTTGTATTTACAATTGCAACATGTGGTCCTGAAAGGTAGGAAATAAAAAGTTTCAGTTGGCTTTATAATTTAAACTTTTCTTATTTTTTGCACACAAGTGACCAAAATACAGATGTCTGGAAGAGCAGCATGTGATTACAATGGCTGGATACAAAGCTGTTGGTCTCAGTACACTCGAGTTGAGGATGCTGCAGCATGTTATCTGATAGCACAGGCTACTGCAGGCACAGGTCATTCCAGTCCTGCTAAGCCTCTCTGCTCTCTGAATGTCAATTTTGCAGTCTCAGTCTTTAGCATATTCTGTGCTCTCAATACAGAGTATGTGCAGCATACCATAGAGATTGCTGTTAACAGCTTTATTCTGTAGATCCAACATAAGCTCTTTGCCACAAAACTAAGGCTTGTATTTGCCTTCTTGTTTCAAGACTACCATTTAATACACTGTGGGAGGATCTTAAGTTTTCCCTTATGTAATAGTGAAAGGCAGCGTAAGAGCTGTCTGTATAGGATGGAGTCAGTGCATATTTAAATCAAGGCTAGATTCTTGCTGTATAATCTTAACTCTTCCCAGCTATTTTTAACTTAAAGGAAAAAAAAAAAAGCCATAGGTATCATCCCCCTGGTTATCTGTACCTAACAAACTTGAAGCCACCACTGGTAAGCAAGGAGATAATAAAACTTCTCAGAAACACAATTTTTCTAGTACTAGTCAGAGAAGATTTTCTCTTCAATTCTTCTCTGATGAAGCATTAATGTAAGAATTTAAGCCTGAGGAAGCAATCCAATACAGAAGACATCTTCCTGTCTTACGTCTGAAAATAAGGATGGTAGTAGGTAGTCTTAACTAATGCAGGCTCCCCTACAGTTTGTAAATTTTTTGCAAGGATAGTTGCTTTATGGGCTGGAAAGTGTTACAACTCTTTCTAGAACTGTTGCAAAAGCATAGGGAAGGTAATATTTTTAAAGGTCTCTGTATGAGCTGGAGTTTATCAGGAGTGTGAGAAACAGATTCCGTAAGGCAAGTTAAAAAACCCTCCTAATTAAGTTACTGTGTAGTCTTACATAGTTTTAAAAAAAATTTAAGGCTTTAGTTCTTTTTGCCTACAGCTAATTTAGAGCCTTTAATCATACTCAGCTAGAGCATGAGGCTCAATCCTTTCTACCTCTATGAAAAGTAACAGTGAAGAAGCTTTTGAAAGCCCTCAGAGCTGTGTTTCTATAGTTTTGTTACATGAAAGAGAAGGAATTAACTGTTGGTTGGAAATGCCCTGCAGTGAACATATGCCAACTTCATCTTGGAAAGCTGCCATGACCTAAACCCTGTACTTGCAAATAAACAGTGTAAAATTGCACTTTGTTCCCTGTCCCCTGTTTTCACACTGTAAAAGCTGTACTCTAATGCAGTGTTCTTCTCAGGGAAAGTCTACAGTTCTGTTACAAAATGGCTTACTCCTGCTTGCTCAGACAGAAACCAGACAAACAGATCAAGGGAGGCTCAGAACAGCCACACAATGTCCAGCCAGTTTTTCAGTTTGAACTGCCTCCCACAGCTGCAGGAAAAGTTTTTACCCTAAGTACCTTTTCAGAGCAATCAGAAAAGCAAGTAACCAAAGTTGATCCTGTTGATTCTTGACATTCTCCATTATTTGTTATGTGGCCTTTCACACAGGCTCACAGTCTCTGGAATTGTTGCTAAAGCCCCACCTCTGACTGACAGAATTGCATGCAGTAGCTTCCAGAGCTGTAGGTTTGGACAAACTTGATTTGCAGATAACTATGGAAATAAAGGGATATTAGAAAAGATTGAAAAAGTATCTAGTCTTACTTGAATCTTGTGTGTCAGGGTTAGCCATGCCAAGCAAAGTGAGCCCTATGCCTCTGCTATGGACTTGCTCTTCCATGTCTGCTTTATAAAGGAACTCTTGCTAACCACAGCTGAACTGAATCCTGCTCCTCATTTAGCAAGCCTGCAGACGTGAGAGGGAAGGAAACCTAGGTGTGAAGAAGTAAACACACAGCTCAGGACCTTCTGGCCAACATTTATTTCTGAACACTTCCTCAGCCTTCAAAGCCTTGCTTCCTCTGGCTTGTTGGCAAGGGCTATCTCTGTGTGGTGCAGAGGTTTTCACCCCAGAAACAAAATAGCATTGAGTGTTGTCCAGGCTAGTTAGGGTTGCTGCACTGTGCCCGTTGCAACTGAACTGCTTCGTAACAGAAGCTAGGATTCTCATGCAGCCTCTGCAAGTGAAATTGTTAGTAAACTGGAGCTTGCCTTTCATTTCTCCACTGTGCTGTTGCATGATTAGATATGCCCCATGAGGACATGTCCTCTGGCTTCTATTTGACTATTTGACTACAGGATTCCAAAATACAAGAAGGCTCTGCTCTGTAAAGGTTTTTCTCTTCCTCAGGTAGCATCAGCTACCTTACTAACCATTTGCTAAATTTCAGTTAAACTGCTTGGGAACAATATCAGAGAAGAGTGAAATTTTGGAAAGCTATATTTGATTTTGTAGGAGAGCAGTAAGTGTAATTTTCACCTTAGTGTTTACTTTCTATCCTAGAGGTAAATGGAAGGAAACTAACAAAGGTTAGGGAGTTCAGTGGGGCTCGAGGAATTAATCTAAGTCATGAAACAGGAAAGGAAAGTTAAAGACATCAGAAAAACACTACATTTCCTGACAACAGGAGTAGCTCGTCCCCAAAGGATGAAGTCTTGCTTTTCTCCATAAAGTAAGGAGCACATACGGGGTTGCTCTGCTCCTCCTTCTCCTTCTAGTTCACCATAATACAAATCTTCCCAGGGAAAAGGCTCTACAAGGAACCAGAAAGGGCCAGGAAGTGTCATGAGGCTTCTCCTATTCATCTTTCTGGGAGGAAAGGGCACCTTTTTCCAAACTTGGAGCTAGAACGGGTAAAAGAAGATGATGATGATCAAAATCAATTGTACCAGGAATCATTTGAAAACAGGCTCAGAAGTATTATGTGGACTCTGTTCCTCCAGGTAAGCCCCTGAAAAAACAGAAATGGGAGAAAGTGGGAAGGAAGGTGAGCTAGTCCAAAAGTTGATGCAAGTCTCATGTTTGATTTAAGTGGAAAATTTTCATGTAAAGAATGATGAAGTAATAAAACAAAAGTCTTTCCAGCAGCTCTTCACGCACCTGATGCCTTAATGTATGCATGTTTATATTTCCTGTTATCCTTTCTGTCACTGAAGATCAGAAGATACATTGAACTGCAATCCTCTTACAAAGATTTGAGCTGTAATAGTTGTTTGATTGTAAATCTCAGAATGGAGAGCTGCACTGAGTTTAGTGTAACAGCAGTGAGCTGTAAATATGTCACCCGTAATGCCTTTCATCATGCTAGAAGGCTAATCCTGAGACAAAGCAGATCCTGGTTAATGTTTACTGAGCTGCAAATAAATGAACATGCAGTAGATAAGTAGAATGTCTAAGGAGTCCTTGTAGCTTAAAGGGAAATGCAAACCCTCTTACAAGGCTTGATGCTTTTAAGCCAGTTAAGAATCACTTTAGGATTATCAGCTAAATGATTAAATATAGTAGGTAGCATTTAGAAATACATGAGAAGCTGCAAGAAAACTTTGCATATGGCAAGTAATGATACTGTAACCTGACTGTGTGCCTTACAGCTTCCCAAATAAGGGTTGGGTAGAAAGGCATTTTCATTTGTTAAAGCTGTTAAAGGACTGAATCTTAGACATAAATGTCCAACTGATGCTGTGTTTTGAATTCGGAATGAGGTTGATGTAATTATGCATCTGTCAATCTGTTGAATCATGAGAATGTAAAGATTATAATACATTGATTTCCCAGGGACCAAGAAACTGAAAACTACTCCATCTTCTGCCTAATACCTAGGCAAGGAAAGTCAGCGAGGAGGTCTTGAACAGGATCTTCTTGAAACCTTAATTTCCAACATAACAGCAACTTTCTTCCCTTTCTTTAATAGATGTCCTCTGTATCAAACTGTGTTATTCCAAGATGATTAAATACTTTTAGTTCTAGAGTCCAGGATGTTGCTTTTTCCCCACCCTACCCCCAAGTATCCAGCTGTGTACAGATACAGCAGAAGATACTCAGTAATTGCATTTTCCTTTCTGCTTGTATAATTTGTTCCTCATGTCCTTCAAAGCCACCTGAAGGAGCAGGAAACTGAATAGACTTGTCATGGAAGGCAGATCTGTTCAGCTGGCTGTCAGTTGGACTGCACTGTATTGTTACATTCACTATCTTGCATGGATAAAGTTTCGCAGGCAATGCACAAAAGCTCTCACATTATGCTTTTCTTTAGCCTACTGGCCCCTCTGAAGGCGTTCCAAAATGCTAGTTAACGTTCTCTTCCCTAGGACAGGAAAGGGTTAGCACTTGATCAGAGTAGGCCCCAGCTATCCTGAAAACCTTGCTGTTTCCTGAAATACCCTGAGAGACTTTCCATAGCTCTGATGGACAGCTTTGGAAGTCTCTCAAACTCACTAACTGGCTGAGTTCTCAGAGGTAAAACTACTCCTATTCTGACTTAAATGACGAGTCTAGTTTCTGCCTCAAAGGATCTGCAAGCTGGAGAAAGGCTTATTCTAATAGATCTATGGACTACCCTAGGAGAAAAGAAATTGTAAGGTAAGGCAAGATATATTTCCCTACTTCTCAGATACCGTTTTATAGTACCTAGGGGAATCATAGGTATCAGTCAAGTGTTCTGTGAGCCATTGAAAATACTGCTACAATCTAAAGCAAGAAATTCTTCCTTGTATTCTCCCCCTACTTTATGTTTCTAAGGCAATTACTTTCTTCATCTCAAAACACAGGCAGATATGCAAGTGTATTGATTTACCATTGTTCTTATTGATATACTTTATTATTATTTTTATGGCAAATGCTAAACGGTGATAAAACGTTGTTGCTAGTAGTAACTTTGTGAAAGGGCTTGCCTTCTGGAAAAGAGAGAAAAACACAGATGGGATGAACTTTTTGTGGGATGTCATGTACTAAGTACAGTACCTACTAGAATATTTCAAGGAATAAGGGACAAGGCAGGAGGATGCATAGTTCTGAACAGAATGCAAAGAAAAATAATGAGAAGAAACTACTATGTGTAGAGTATTATACCTTCTGCAATTACCTACCGTGAATTCTATGGATGAAAATTGAATACATTTGCCAGAATTGAATATCACATAGTTCTTCACTATTAAAATCTAAAATTGGCCCCATAGTGCCATTGCATTACTGTAAATATTCCTGACAGCTAGTTTTCTGAGAGTTGTATGGGGTTTTTGAGAAGAAATGCTTTTCATCTGCCACATAATACAGAGTTGTTTTGAGGCACATGGGTAGAGTTTTCTTAAAAATATTGTTACTTGGAATATTCTGTCCTGGGAAGGCCTGGCTGAAATACTTTGCTCATTGTTTGCTTAATATAACACAACTGGGATTTTATTTATTTGTTTTAGCAAACTAGAATGAATGATTTGCACTGCCTGAATTTAGACACTTGGACTTGGTCTGGAAGGTAGGTTTCTCTCTATAACACTTAAAGTTGAATGTAGCAGATTGAGACATACTGTTGAGTAGCTCCAGTGCTAATTTTGTGGCTTTTCGAAGAGGAGAATGGGAGTTTGGGGACTATTTTAACAGCTGTTATATTGTGATTTCCATTTAATTTAATTTGATAGTGGTTACTATGCTTTTTCTGTTCTGCACCAGAGCGTTGATGATGCTATTTTAAGCACAGCATGTAGTGACTTAACATCCTCATTTTCAAGATGAGTACATTTATCCATATGGAATTTTAGTTTTGATGTCTTTTTCATTTTTACTATCTATATTTGGTTCATTATGGTACAGATTGGGGAACAATCTTCCCCCCTCCCCCTTCCAAGATAAGCATCTTAACCATTTTTAAAAAAATCAAGTAAAAGCATGATCTAAATATTTACATTTTAAACTAAATCAGGTATTAGTATACTTCCTGAAATTTGTTTGCATGTGTCATTTACAATAGTGCCTACTACATGTGTAGAATCAGTGGATATTTTGTTAGCTGATAGACAGAACCGGAGATAAACAGTAACTGTTGGGTGATAACCACTGCTCTGTGCCTATTCTCAAGGTAACCTAATAGCAATTTCATAGAAGACCATTAAATACCCCTTTCTGGAGTATGTGTCAGTACTGATCCTGCTCCAGGGCTTTATGTGTTTCATGCACCTATGAGGGGCATCTTTAATCATCCGTGACTGCTGAGCTGATCCAGCACCAAGTGTGTTGCTCTGCCCTCTGAGGCAAGAGCAAAGCAGGGGAGCAGACACAATCCTCCATCCATTCCTTGCTGCTAACAGCAGCAGGACAAAGAAGTCCTGCAGCGTCCTTTCAGAAAAAATTCTCTTTGAAGATTTATTTAATTAGCACTTACAATTAATCAGTGTAATTCTCCTTTTTCTTCTCTAGTTGTTTTAAAATGAACAGCGTTCTACCTAAATGATAGAATTGTCCCTCTTAGACTGTGAACTTTACCTCTGAGTGGATTGATTATTCAGATTATTGCTTTAGCTGCTTACTTTTTGTTGTTGCATGAGCAGTTGCTCTTTGGCTTGCTTTTCATTGCTTTAAAAAAGGAAAACTGTGACAGTTGAGTGACAAGTCAATGAGAGGAATTTCAAGCCCTGAAGGAGGGATGTCATTGTCAAAGTTCTAAGTCCTCATCAGCCAGTGTTCCCTTTTGTTTGGCATTTGAAAGCTAATACTGAAGTTTAAGTGTTTTCTGTTCTTGACCTGAATACAACAGGCTGATTTTACCTTACATACCACGCACATCCTTAGATTAAGGATGTCAATACTAAATGCAGCCATTCCTAAAAACTGAAGATTGTTCCAATACTCAATTATTTCTATATTGTGATCCAAGAATAGCTCACAATACTTACCCTTAATTTAGTATAGACACTGATCATTGTAAGTCTAGGAGCCTCCTATCCAGTCATTCTGCACCTCTGCAAAGAGTCTTTAAGAGACTAAAAAAAGAGATTTAAGAGAGACTAAAAAATATATTTAAGAGACTAGGAAAAAAAAGTGTCTGCTGCTGTGGTGGCACCTCACATGAGGTAAAGCATACATATTTGTCCATACCTAGAGGGGTGACTAATCAAAGGATGGTCTTGTGGGAAGCTTCACAGGCCTGAGCGCTGATCTGCCCTTACTAAAGTGACTGATCTTAGGGAAACCTGAGAAATAGAATTCAGAGATGGCAGAATTTAGATTAGCCATTGTCAGCTGGCAGTTGGGGGTGGGGGGGAAGGGTAATTTCCTAGGGCTAGATGATATTTTCTCCAAATAATTGATTTGTGGCTATTAATTATCTACTATGGTAAAATCATCTCATATTACCAGGCCACCTCTCAGCATGCACAAGCATACAGTACCTTGCCACGTGATTTCATCTCCTGATTACGAGAGAAAAAAATCAGTGTATCCTTCAGGACAAAATCAAATTAGTACTTACAGTTTGACTCCAGTTTACAGTCTGTCTTTACACAAATTGTCTGGAAAATTATTTATGGCTACATTCTTCCTTTCATAAAATCAATAGTGATGGCTGCATGAGAAATTGGGCATTTGTAGGGATCACCTCCAATATAAAGAACTTGGTCCCAAAAGTCCCATGATTCCACACACAAACATTGTAAAATAAGACAAGTAAATAAGCCAGGGGATTTTTTTTCTCTTTTTTTTTTGTCTGAAATTTATATAGCAAAGAAATGCATGCTGAGACCAACAACATTACATATTAAGAGTGAGGAGTAAAGAAAATCACTCGATATCCTTTGAGTGCCAGCAATAGTTTTGAATGGTTCTAATCAGTTCTAAATTCCAGCAATTTCAATCAGACCATTTCCACCTGAAAGCTGCCTCTAAAAAGCCCTAGTGTCATTCCAGTATTTTAAAGGTAGGGAAATTCCTTCAGACTTGTTTGCTGTCAGGGTGACTATTTTCTCCTCTGGGTGTTTCTTGCAAGGAACCTTTCTTTCTTATGCTATAGCTTCAAATTCCTTTCTACTGAAATTTCTGATCCAATGCTGAACTAAAAATTGGTCAGGATACAACCTTTCTGATGTAGATAACAGACTGCTCAGCCATTCTGCAGCTGCAGAGAGATTGTCTTTGCCAGGGGAATTATCACCAAATGGGACTCAAGGTTTTAATACAGATTTAAAAGTTTGGCGGTCTGAATGCTGCTGACCAAGGCAAGTTGACTGTAGGTGTCTGAAGTTCTCTTGTTCCCAGTCAATCTCTGAGTGAGGAGGACTTGGTTTGTACAGTCCTACATTTAAATTCACTTAATCGACATCTCCTAAAAGAAAAATTCCAAATGCAATGATGATTTTATTTAAAACCCCATGTTGTCTCATTAACCAGTCGTATTAAATATTTCTTCCTACTCCTACTCGACTCCATGCAGGTTTCTTAAGGAATTGCATACTATTAATCTATCAATCCATGTCTATCTTCCAGCATGAGATTGCAATATTTATTTTAGTTGCCACTATCCAGAAGTTACCTTGCCTTCCCTGAGCTCCACTGATCTGTTATTCAAAATGGTCAATATTACGTTATTTCTCTTACTGTGATAATTTTTTGCATCAGTACCTTGAAAAATTGACATGTTATCGCTCATCAGTATCTGGTATATATTTTTCCAAACATCAAAGCCTGTTGTATCTCAGCACAGTCTGCCCCTTTGCCAATTTTAGAAGCATCTTATACAAGAGTTGTTCAAAGCAGGCATTCAAACATTGTGACTTGGCTTCAACTTCAGTGCCAAATTTAGTAGGACAGTTTTGCAATCACTGTTTAATTAGCTATGATTCTTCAGTCTTTGCTTCCAGATGGAGAACTGCTTAGCAGTCACCAGCAGTGAAATTCCTCTGACTGAACTGCAGATGCCTGTATTACTCACTCTAGGCATCCTCTGTGCTCAGTTAAGAGAAATGGGCACGAGCCAACTGCTGCTAAGGTAGATATCTAAAATAAATCACAAGTTGTGCTTTCCAAGGACCCCGTTTCTCTTCGTTGATTATAAAGGAAATACAGATGGGTGCACCGTTGATATTGTAGATGAGCACGCATCTGTGTATATTACATTCGCCTCAGTTTAGCAAAGTGCAGTAAAAAGAAGGTAGCTGGTTCTTCGTGATATAGTCTACCTGGATTGAACATTCCTTTCTTACCTGTTCTGGACAGTCTCCGACTAAGATTCTGACCCCACAGGATGGTTTACAGGTGTTTGCACATGTTTTTTCCATCCTTTTTCCAAAATGAGGACATACTGCGTATGTAGTGGCCTAGATTCTTTGTGTCTACCTTAGGTACTTTACAACAGAAGTTGTCTCTTGCTTAGTATAGAGCAAGATACTAGGTGGGCTGATGCCCTCTGGAGGTCCTTGCTCTTCTCTGCTGACTCTGTTGAGATCCTGCTCAGACAAGTGTACGCCTCGGTGCCTAAACTAAGATGATGTGAGTTCAGGCCACCTGCCATAGGTAATCCCTTACGTTCAGGTTCTTTACTGTTCAGATTCTCAAGCATACCTAGCTGTGCAGCTAAAATGAAATCGGTATCAAATCTGTATTTTTGTAACATGAGCAGATTTTTGGAATAATAAACCTACATCTGTTTTGTATTTAGGAATGCCACTTCTTATGAAAATTTACCTCAAAGTTTCGGTGGCCCAACATTGTGTTAAAAGGCACAATGGTTGAAGAGGTAGTAGCTTTTGGATAAAAGATAAAGCTACAGTCCTTGTATCATTTAAGGTAACTTTCCTAGGAGTGGAGAGACTGTAGACCCTCAGGATTCATTAAATTTTATCTCAAATAACTTGAGTCTGTTTACCTACACATGCTGTGCGCTTTATTTGAATTTATAGTCCTTTCTTTGCTGTCCTAAGTGCCTTCAGTTATATGATAAGTAGTGGCTTTAGTGATCTTAAGAAAACAAACAAACAAACAATCAGTGCTTTTGTCCTTATATTTGATATTTACATAACTGGTTGTTCAGAGAACAGTTACTACAAGAAATTACTTTGTTTAGATTTGAACACCACTCGAGTAAATTCAGATTGTATAAGTGCAGCTTTTTCACTGGGAAGATATCCAAGCTTGTTCTAGGACAAACTAAATTAACTACTAAACTTTCTGGCAGGTTAATTTTCAGCATTCTTTGAAAATTTGTTTTTGTTTATTTGTTTCACCAAGAATTAATATCAGTGGAGAGAAACCAAAAGATCGATCCTGGCACACGCTGACTCCGATAGGAGATGACAGACTTTTTCTTTTTGGTGGACTAAGTTCTGATAATGTTCCTTTAAGTAAGTAATTTAGAGATTATCATTTTATTGTACATGTTAGTACTAACCTCGTGTAGTGTGCACATTTGTTGTCTTTCTTAAACTAGTTAGATCTAAATCTTGTTACAGAATTTTCATGGTGCTTGAGTATTTCTCTAGCTATCTTATCATTTTTATGGAAATACAGGAGCACATTGTGTAGTACAATGAGAAAGTATGATAATAAATCTTTCATCAAACTATCATCTAAGAGAATAAAGGCAAGACTCATATTTTGATATGAACGAGGGATAACTTTTGATATCATTAGCAATTGCAGGAAGAAGATACAAATAATAATGTCAACAGTAATGTAGATTTTGGGATGAATAACATATCACAGCTACAAAACATTAAATAGAAAGTAGGATAGTCTTATACTGAATTCCTTTTCTAGAAAAGACAACTTCTTTTCATGAAAAAAATGTAAAATTAGTGAAAATAGTTTTGGGTGTTACAGATATTTCACTGGGAGAGGGCGATTTTCTCAATGTAACCAAAAGAAAAAAGGTGTATTTTAATTCCATATTTCAATGCAGTGAGCTTTTTGTGGTTGAATGGTTAAGTTAAATTACAAAGACTAAAAAGATGCAAGTTAACCTAGTTTTGCTGTTACTGTTACCTTAATGTAATGTGCTCTTAGAACACAGAGCTTTTTGTATCAATAAAAAAGGTAATACTTTGTCCCAAGAAAAAGTACTAATGCATGTTCTTGTATTGTAGGTGATGGCTGGATTCACAGCATTACAACAAATGGATGGAAACAACTTACCCATTTGCCTAAGAGTAGGCCTAGGTATATAAAAATAGATAATGTTTGCTGAAACTTATGCATTTTTAAAAATTAAGTAATTTTAAATTATTGAACAGTATTTTTACATTATAAGAATATTTTCGAAAATAATATTTTAGAAAATTAATGCAGTATGGTTGAATACTTTACTAACTTATGTTCCTTCATACCTGATACAGCATTATTACTTTCTATATTTGTTATAGTTGATGCTTACTTACATTAAAAGATTTTTTTGTGATGAAAGATCTGGATGTCCAGCTAACCTGGTGTTCTATAGCCAAATTATTTTTATATAAGAAAATGCGTGTAACATATAACTTTTGACGAATTAATAACCTATGAGAGTAATAAAAGTTGTTTAATGTTGATACATTATTAGAAACATGGGGGAGACAACCAGTGAAATGTTGATGCACCTTTCAGGGTTGAAAAATATTATAAAATACCTTGTTTGGTTGTTTTTTTTTCCCTACGGAGAAGCAGCTAATTATGATGACAGTTTTGCAAACCTGAATTTAGTACTAAACAGCACGGTAAATGTCTGTGGAATTTTGTTATTTCAAGGACTTAACTGCCAACCAAAAAGGACCTAGTTCTAGAATGGATGTTGTTCGTGCTGGCAACAATAGTGTCTCTTCCAGACTCTGTTCCCCTTCCCTCTCTAGTTTAAGACTGCGAAAAAAGACAGATTCTTTCTGACTAAAGAAAGCACGTTGCATGTTCTGAACCAGCAGCTGCCATTGAAAACAGGTGCTTGCTGTATCAGACCACAGACTTTTTTTTTTTTTTTAACACAGTGTTTGAAGCATTCTCCGTAGTTAGAATGTAAATAGTATTGAATTGATTTGCTGTAGATAGTAAATACGCAGATTTTAGTGGAATTCATTCTATACGTTCACCCAGGTACTCTCAGCACAATTTTATATCATTCTTTTAGCACAGTGTGCAATTCTGATCTGGCATTTGTATGCTTCCTGCCTTAAATTCTGTTTTTTATTACTGAAATATCTTTACCTCAATTAATTTTCTTCCTTTTTTATCCTATTCTAGGGTGTCTTTTAAATATAACAGCACTGTTAGACCAAGTTTTCTGCTTTCTTATATTTCAAACTCTTTCAAGCCCAAATAAACTTACACCTTAGCTTCATAGAGTATTTTCCATCTGTTTACGATTACTGAACTGCTATATGAAGGGACTGATGACTGCCTTAAATAACAAAACACATCATTAGCAGTCAGTGATCATGTCTGTCTTTGTGTTCAGTTCTTTACATGGATGGTCTCATAAAAGTTAACTGCTGAATTGGACTGCTTCACCTTGTGTAATTGTTTTTACTGGTGCATCATGAAAAAGGATCAGGAAGGGACAGAATGTGCTTTTTCAACAGGCAGCAGCCTAGGGAGCTGCAGCTCAGTCTGTACTCTGCAATTAAACTGGAATAACACCTCAGGTGGTGGTGGGGCTGGATGTTAGGAGCCTGTGACTCTTGAGCCCCAAGAGGTTTTCAGGCAATTCAAGGGCAGATCCCGTATTGGGCTACAAAGCAGAACTGTCGCTGGGCTGTGCTGGCGGAGAGGCTGTTGAACAAGCCACCACCTTCCGTGCTGCAGCGGAAGCGCCCGAGAGCGTTGATGAGGGTGACACTGCTAAATTTGCTGGGGACTGTACTGCACACGCAGCACAGACCCTCCTGAGAGAACAGAGCTTCTGGGTCACACGCTGACAAGAGTCTCAGAGCTTCCTCAAGTCCAAACGTGTCCTGTGGTTCTCTACCATCTGAAGACTGTGGAATGCAGTTTGTAGGCTGAGGACAGTTGCCCTTCATTGACTTAATTCTTCACTGAAGTAATTTACCTTCCCCCCCCTTTTTTTTTTGTTTTTTAATAAAAAAATACTTCAGTAACCTTTTTCAGGAAGTCCTGGAAACATGGATCAAAGCAGCCATAGCAAAAGCCTGTCTGTATATTGAACTAGTCTGAATGTGAAGTACTTACTTGTGCCATAATTGTATCCCTGTTCTTACCCAGGATTACTGCAGGATCTCTGCAGCTGAAAAAGGTTTAAGTCAGTTCTGTTGCTCATATGACCTTACAGCAGGACTTAAAATGCACTGGCAATAATATATATGTGTACTTCTTTTTTAATATATTTTTATTATTTTATAATAATACATGGTATATCACTCATGCATTACTGTATTTTCCTGATGCTTCTGCAAAATCGATTCCCTCCTTAAATTTGGTAAAGAGTAACTTCCTTCAACATTCATTTTAGTAATTTCTAAAAAAATTGTCTCCCAGGTTATAGATCTGTGATTCTGTATTGGTAGAAAATATTTTCCTTCTTTCTGTCCACCAGTTGTACTTCAGCTAACATTTTGCATGCCAGGTTAAAATACAGAACAAATTGTATGCTTAACTTATAGATTCCCAGTGTTTTCATTACAATGTAATTCTGTTATTCTAGTTAGAATAATTTAAATAACATGCTTTATTAGAATGTTTAGGTGATAAGTTAGAGCAGCCGTGAGAGGACATAAACTCTGTCAGTCTGTAGAAAAAGCATCAGGTTGCGAGCTAGGATGTCAACAAAGTCAAGGCAGGAAAGGCTTCCCAGTGTTCTTCGGTGATGAAGTCCAGGCCAGAGTTTTCCTAATGCAGATAAGGCAGACACAGATCTATCTACAGGTATGAGGAGGAGAAAAGGTGGGATACAGTTTAGCCTAAGGAGAATGGTGAATAATTACTGATACTGAATGGAGTAAGAAAGTGAGAACATTTACTTTTGCATGAAAGTTCTAGTGGTGCGTATTATTTTGGTTAAGTAGACTTAAAGGGCCAGAGCTCTGTGGTGATAATCATCTTGTGATACTTCAGTGGTGATACACCAGTAGAAAAATTACAGATTTTGATCTGCTAATAATAAGTGAATCTAGCAAGGTGTAGCTGCTGAAGTAGCAGAATCTTTGTTAAAGCAAGATTTTAAAGCACGTCAGGTTTTGGTTTGGTTTGGGTTTTTTTATACCATGTGCTTTTTTATGCACGACACAAAACTTACTTGTGGGCGTGATATAAGTAATTGACACACGGAAAATGATCCCCGGGAATCTCTGGGGGAAGTGTAAAACTGAAACAGGGTAACTTGTGTTCTGAAGCTCTCATCCTAGTGTTCAGGGATAAGAGTCAGCACTGAAAACCCCACAGTCTTAAAGCCATTAGAATTTACCGATTAAAGAAATAGTGGAAAATTAAAAAAAAAAAGGAAAAGAAAAACTGTTCTTGGCAAAAGCTTATTTTGTATAGTTATTTTGTTCTCTAAAAATTTTCCACTTGTAGTGTTTTGTTGAAGTAGTGATAAATAAGACAAAGTATATATAACTAGACTTACATAACTAGAGTACAGAAGAGTCAAATGATGACAAAAATACACTGTTCTGTATGAAATGTAATCATTCAGCAAAATGATCTATCATTAGATGGATAGTTACATTGCTCTCTCCTTTTATATTGTTAACGAAATTAGTAATATCACATTTTAAGGTATTATTTTTTACTTCTGAAGACTTTTGAAATAATGTCTTTGTCTTGGTTTCCTGAGAAGTAAGGGTTACACTGCAGTGCTCTGTGCATGTATGGGTGCCTCTCCTGCCCGTGTACATTTTGAATCAATTGACCCATTTCAGTAATATTTAATAAAGAAAGTAGGAAGCTCAGAGATAGAAAGTCCCAACATACTCTGTGCAAATAAATGGCCAAACAGAAAAGAGAGACTCTCATAATAGCTTCGCTCAAGCGAGCGCTCGGTGCTTGCTCTCCATTCTTCCGTAAGAACAGAAGCTCTGCCTTGAGATGCAGGTTGATAAAAACAGGCTTTATTGCTTCTGCAGCTCACAGAGCAACTTGCAAGATACACTACTTAAAACTGTAAAATTCTTCTTGGTAAGCAGTGAGGCCAGTAAGATTTTGAGGCTCTGTGTGCATAAGTAGTGGAATCACAGGATTAGAGAAGTGACCTTTCCATTTTAGTTAAAAGGAACTTGCATCCTTATAGCAAAAGAGTCTTTTGAAAAGAAACTTGAATATGAAGAATGGAGGAGAGTCTCTGTGAGGTGAAGAGGTTAATATGCAAGTACTTACTGCTTCTCTGAAACCCTTAAAACATTTAGTTTTTAGATTTGTTTTGCTGATATCACACAACTGTTGCTTGTTGTTACTTTGTCACTAATTCTGTTCATAACTTTACTTCTAGATTGTGGCATACAGCTTGCCTTGGAAAAGAAGGAGAAGTGATGGTGTTTGGTGGAAGCAAAGATGACTTGCATTTCATGGACACAGTAAGTAAACTGAATAATGAAACTATCACTACGATAATTAAATTGAAATAAAATGAAGTTAATACAATTGGTAATATTATTGAGTTAATTCATATCATATGGTGTTGTGAGATGTGACCTTAGGTATTCTTGAAAAGTAATTTAGGAGGGGGTTTTCCTGCTGTTAGACTCATAAAAATGAATTTGTTATTCAGATTCTTTATGAATAATTATTTAGGTATTTCAGTTTTAAATTATGCAGTGCGGTAATAAATGTTACATTAATCTAGAAAATAGCAATATTTCTGAGAAAAGCTGTTTGTCACTTTAATGGTTCTTTTTTTTTTGTTGATTAGGGTCACTGCAGTGACTTGTTGATATTTCAGACGCAGCCTTATTCACTCCTCAGGTGAGTTGAAGTTATTGGCACAGAGAGTCCAGTGTAAATCGTTATGGCACTATGCTTTTACACATGGGTTTTAGCCATGTACTCTGACACAGGCTGGTAAAATATAAAATGACCTCCTCAGTAAATATTTGAAACATGCAGTATATGGCAATCCACAGCAGTTTAAACACTGGTGGTGTATAATACTCTCTCCTGCACATGCAAGCACAATGTATGTAATGAACATCACAGGCTTTTATTAAGATATCACTTTTTTGTCTTTAGATTATAGACCATTTACTTAAATTTTTTTTTTTTTTTTTTCCCCATCCTTCAGGTTGTGTCTTGACTGCATTGGTAAAAATGCAACTCTCTTAAAGAATCAAATACCATGCTTGCCATCAAAACTTTTGCAGCAAGTGCTGAAAAAAAATAACCTTCTGGGCTGCAGTTAACCACCGGCAAGAGAAAAAAGCTGAAACTGAAAGACAAAGTCAACTAAATACCACATGAACAGTGGCGACAAAACTGTTGGAACACTTTGGTTTATTTACGGTGTACAGCAAAGTCTTTTGTTAGTGAACTTTACTAATGCTACAGAACAACTGTATGTTAAGCTGAGTTTCTAAGTGAAGTTTGAGAACAAAGAAATCCTTTTTATGGAAGTCTCTTTTGTTTTCTGCATTATAGGAAACTGCTAAAACTTCATTTGTATATATTGTTAACTTCTGCTGTTGTGGTCTTAATGACAGTCCATACAACTTGTTATTTTTGAAGGTGACAGATGTTACAAAATATTTCCAGTTGGATAAAATATGGCTTATGTCTAAAATCTTACTACAGCCTTATCCACATCAGCCTTTCTTGAAAAGATAAAATTAGTTCAACACAGTATCTTTGGAAGATTCACACTTGTTCAGTTTTGAAAAAGGTAACTAATTTGCTGACACCACCAAATCTTCATTGTTTCATTCCACGAGACTCTGTCATCTGACCATCAAGTCAAATGATGGCGTCAGACTTCTTACCCGAAGTAGGAAAATCAATAAGCTAACCGTGAAACTTGAATTAAAAAGCTGCAGGGAGCAGCATTACCCTTTGTATAGGAAAGCTTACATGCAGTTCACAATATGGTTTTACTACGTTTCTGTAATCAATGAGTCCTTTTTGAAATAGGTTGTATATTGTATTTTGGATGTGTAAAGTTTATATTTAATTCTTGTTTAAAAAAATGCTTATTTATTGTTTAAAAAGAGCGTATGTAGTACTTGCTATTTTTCTGTTTCGAATATTTAGTTAACAGGAGCACAGTCATTAAAATTTTATAGAGAGTTGAATCGAGATCGGTTTTGACTAGTTTCTTGACATTCTTGCCGTTTGCCAAACTTAATCGGGAGAGGAGGCTTTGGAGCAAAGTTATATCATAAAGGCAAGTTTTTGGTGACTGGGTGTTGTAGCAGAGCCGTAATTTTAGGCGTGTTAGGTATTTAGTATTCGTCCCGCGGCTTTTTTTTTAGCCGAGAGATGACAGGGTCTCTGCTGACGCGGTTTACCCGTCGCCGAACGCCGCGCGCCCCGCCGGCTCCCGCCGTTTTCCCCTCAGGGCAGAGCCGGGCGGCTGCGCGGCGGGGCGGGACGGCGCCTGCGCGGCGCTGCCGGAAGCGGCGGATGTTGTCGTTGCGCGGCCCGCTGAGGTGAAGAGGGGAGGGGGGGGCGGCCGCGCCGAGGGACCCGCAGGCACCGACCCGTCCTGCGGTAGGGCCCGGGCCCCGGGGAGAGGGCGGGCGGGGGGCTTCGGGGGCCGAGGCTGGAGCAAGGAGCGGGCGGTGAGGGGGGGCTGTGGGGCGCGGGGAGCCAACCCTGACAGAAAACGTGTGTGGGGGGGGTTGGATCTTAATGGGTCCAGTAAGTGCGGTGATGGCGGATTGTTTAGTGAAGGGCGGCTGCTGCTCGTTTGGGTCCGGTGTGACGGGTGTGTCCCGACAGGTAAAATGGATCTGGGCTGCCTCAGGGCGGGGGGGACACGACACGACACGACACACGGACCACGTCTGGGGTCAGTCGGGGTCTCGTGAGGGATGTGGGAAGCCAGGGCAGAGCCATGGAGGGCTTGGGGATTGCAGGGGATGGTGAGAAGTGTATCGTTACAGGACTGGAAAATTGCTTAAGGGGGACAGAAATTGTCCTGGGTTGTTAAAAAAAAAAAAAAGAATCCTGACAGCGGGGGAGAGGAGAGGTCAGTAAAAATCTGGTTAACTTGAAGCAGACAGATTTCATTGAGGTGTGGGTAAGACTTTCTAATTTAAAGCGTAATTAAAGCTCAGAAATAAACTACCGAAGGTGGTGAGTGTCTTCATCGTTGGAGCAATTCAAGTTGAACGAAAATCTGTCAGGAGTGGTGTAGGTGTTGAGGATTTTGTGCAAGTGCAGCGTTTGTTAGTCTCACTGAGGTCCTTTTCACTTCTCTCGCTTTGCCTGGTTGCACAAAGCCGTTGCTTGGACTAGCTAACTTCCCTGACCTTTTGATCTGTGTCTGAAAACCTTTGTGTGGTGACGGTTTCAACTCAGAGCTGTAGGAAAGCTGAAAGCAGATGGGGACTTGGGAGTGGCTCGTAAGTGGAAGTTGACTTCGGCTTTTCAGGGGTCCCCCTGCTCCATTACAGGCTGAGGCAGAGCGTGCAGGCAGCTTCCAGGATGACCTGGCAGGGCTGACTTCAGCGTCTCCTCCTGGCTTGATTCCTCCCACAGTTGGGCCTTTGAATTACCAGTAACCCCAGTGACAGTGTGTACCAAAGCTCTGGCAGGGAGGCTGCTCTTACCCCTAAGCTGCACAGTGCTCAGGAACCGAAGGCTGAGTGTGCGTAGCTGTTGTCTCTCCACTGAAACGTCAATGTGAAAGAAACAACAGTGTGCAGTTTCTCTTTTCTTTTTTTCCTCTGATGGTTTCACCTGATGGTTTTCAAAGCTCCATACTCTCTATTTTGTGCATGTAGCACTGTATCGAGATGGCCGATGATAACGAAGACCTGCAGGCAGATGAGGAGCTCCCAGCTCCAGCTGAGGACAGCTTTGAGCAGCTGGAGAACGACAGCCCTGCTGAGCGCAGTGGGCACGTGGCAGTCACTGATGGACGCTGCATGTATGTCTGGGGAGGCTACAAGGTACGCTGCTCTTGTTAAGTAAGACTTCTGCCACCCATGGTGCTGGTAATTACGTCCCATTTGTTTGGGAGTGGCTGTAAAATTATCCCTCCCCCAGAAAAGAAAAGCTCCAGTTAACAAATTAGACTATGACATTTAAGAGTTTTGAAATATTGAAATAAACTGTGAGTGTTAAATGCAGATCTCGGCAAACATACCTTCTGTGGGAAGCAGAGTCTTTTTTGCCTTTGTCAACTCACGTGTGTGTTGGAAGAGAAGGAGATACTGTTTAATTTGTAGTGCACACCAGTGTGAAATGGTGCTTTTATTTACAGCGTTATCAGCACAAGTGTATATTGCATTTTAATGACCACAGGTTGGTTATTTATGACACTGGGGTGTGCTTGTACTGCAAGCAGAGCCAAGTCATTTTACAGTTTTGACAGGAATGAAGATGAATTGTCAATGGGCTCGGAAAATAAATTGGTAGCTCAGGACAAAGCTTTGGTGTATTGTTCTGGTGGTGTCATGCAGGGAGTGGGGGAACTAAAAAGGAAATTTTGGCTCAATTATGCACCCTAGTCATCCTGCTTGGGCTATGAAAAGGAGGTTTAACTTCCATTTACCTACCTCTGGCTCTGCTGGGAGCTTGTCTGGTCCCCAGCAGAAGCTAAAACAGGCAAATACCTGCTCTCCAAGGGCTGCAGTGCAGGTGTGAGGTACAGGAGTGCAGCAGGCACTGCTCCTGCTGTTTTCTGTTCTGTGATTAGATCTCTGAGGGGGTGCAAACATTCACAGGAGTCTGTAGTTCAATATGTCAAGCATCTTTCTAATGTTGCTTTTTTTTTTCTGACCTGTTCTGCAGAATGCCCAAGTTAGGGGATTTTATGACTTCTATCTGCCCAGAGATGAAATATGGATCTACAACATGGAAACTGGAAGATGGTATAATAAATAATTAACTTAATTGTTGGTTTGGGGGGGGTGGAAATAAATTCCTAAGTTGGTATAGAAAGCATGCTGAGAGTCTGTGAACAGGGAGAGAATTTCCTGATCTCTTTGTTCCCACCTATCGAACTGTTGCATAAATGTGTAAAATACTTCCATTTTTTTTTTTTTTTCCTGTGGAAACAACAAATATATTTTCACAGAGTGAAGTAGGAGAGGCAGCTCAGACAGACAGCCCATACAGGAGTATGTGGTCAACAGTGTGAAGTGTTTAGGGATGCCTGGTACAGGCTACAGCACCTGAAAATTGTATTTGTACCATTTTTGATTACAGTGGCACACTGGTGAGGGAACCCATATTGAGTTTTTGATTTGTTGTCCTTTTAAAGAGTTGGTTTTAAATTTTGATGCAGCCAAAGAGGCTACTGTGTCATCTTAGATCACAGGGAGCCTGGAAGCTGTGTGAAACCTGCGTGCCTGATAGTGTGAGTAGAGGGAATCGGGTGCGAAGCCATGTCCCCTCAGCGCTCTGCAGAAAGTGCAATTTCAGCAGCACTTCCACTCCTTGTCGTGGTTAGGGAGAGCCCTGGCCATGGGCTGGAAGCTCATCTTTGTGGTTATAATGTTTATAAACATTAAAAATCCAGTAGCAAAATAGAAACCTTCAGTTTAGACAGGTGCATCCTCTTTGCCTGGGGATCTTTCTGGGGATTTTGAACATGAGAGGCGTACCAGGTTCCTGAACTGGGCAGACAGGATTCCTCCCCCACAAAACATGTATGAATTAAATTGCCTCTTCCCCACCCCCCCGCCGTCATACCAGGTTAGTGTTGTAAATTGTTAAACCTGCAAGGGTGTGAAGAACTCATAACTGAATGGTCCACAGTGAGCAATTGCAATTAGAAACATACCAGTAGTGTTATAAAATTCCACTCCAGCTAAAATCATTATTGTTCATCTTTATCAGATAAAATATTTTAAACTGTGCTTCTAGGAAGAAGAGTAAAACAGAGGGAGATGTTCCACCTTCCATGTCTGGAAGTTGTGCCGTGTGTGTAGACAGAGTGGTGTACCTCTTTGGAGGACATCATGCACGTGGCAATACAAACAAGGTTAGTAATTTAAAGATAAACCTCTCCTCACAAATAAGTTTCTCCTCATTTGCTTTTATTCCCACCTTTTATAAAGTAGAGGTGGCCTTTTCAGTTAATTCAAATCCATCCAAAGCACAAAATGTATAACCTTAACAAGTCACGGGAACATTTTCTTCTGAATGACTGGGCAGACTGGATCTGGTTTCAGAGCTTAGATGTTTAATAACAGGGGATGCTGAACGTGTATCCAGTCGTTGTGTCCTCCACGGCTTCTGCAGCGTCATGTTTTCATCTACTGGCTGCATCTCTGGTTCTTAGAAGCAGATAACCAGCTTTCTCATCCTGTCAGCAGCTTCCCCAGATGTGAACTAATTGAAGCCATGTTCTTTTTGTGCCTGCCTAAGGGATTTTGACTAACAAAATATGGTGCTTACCGCATGGATTATTTTTTTCCATGCAGGTGATTAGCTGGCTGACTGTTACCAGCTCAGTGTATTAATTTCTCTGCAACAGGTCAGATAACGTGACGTTTGTAAAACAGGTCAACCTCCAGCTCTGCATCATCTCACGTGGTGATTGGTAGCTTTACACCACTGAAGAAACACCAATGACCTATTATTTGTTTTGGTTGCAGTTGGCCTTGTGCAATTCACCCTATAAATTCTATTGCATTGGTGCTTTTGAGTTTGCTTCTTTTCAAAGATGGGAATTCCCAGAGGTCACTGAAATAATATCAGGAGGTGATTTGTAACTGCTCTGCAGTTGTTTGAAATTTTATTCTTCTCTAGAGTCTCTGATAATATTTTCTGATGTTCTGGAAGTGTGGTTCAAATGAAATAGTTTGGGCCTCTTAAATATAAATTCAGAGTAGCTTGATACAATGCTTGCAAACAGTCTGAAACAAACTACATTTATAAAGTGCAACTTGCTTCCTTCCTGCTGTGATATTCTTACATTTCAGTTAGTATATACACGTGAATCAGCTATTCCTCTCCATGTAAAATGATGTAACATGCAGAGAAGGGATGATACCATTAAAAACCACGTTTTTTGTTTTTAAACAGATATTTTTTTATTATAAGACAATTGCTACTTTGTGCACGCCTACATTGTATCCCATGTCACCTTTTGGATGGTAAAACTCAATGTTCATAGTCCCAT